AGCCCCCCCCCCCCCCCCGCCACAAGGATAGGACCCGGCAGGGAGACCAAGGGCAGGGAGTTCAGACAATGGTCACTAGGCCACACAGAAAAGGGCAGTGTCCCTTCCCAATCTCGGGTTTGCAAGGAATGGACTCTGCCTGGGAACAGAGCTGGCTGCAGGTCTTGGGGAAGGCACCTGCCACCTCCCAGTTGCTCTGGTACCTGTGGGCCCACCAGCAGGAATGAGCCTCTCACTGTGTTGTAGGTACCTGGCAAGGTCCAAGCAGTGATGGCCATGCTATGTGGCACACAGACAGGTAATCTACAGTCACCAAGAGGCGGAGCTGATGTGGTCACAGGCCCAGGCCTGCTCCCAGTAAGGGATCAACTGCTCTCTCCGCCCAGAACCAGCCCATGAGTTCTGCCACCCACTCCATGCCAGCCTTGTATCTCACACATGTGCACACATGCGGCAGAAGTGACCACAGAATCCACAGCCCAAGTGAAGACCCTCCACGGGGCCTCTGGGGGCTGCCAACTGTGGGCCTGTGTGCCCAGGGCCAAGGCAATGCCCTCTCCACTGCACCCCCAGCCTCTGGCCTGTGCTGCTCCCAAGCTCAGCTCTGGAGAGGCACTTGGGTGCCTCTGGAAAGACACGGGACAAGGGCTGTGATGAGGCCATAAGGTTGGAAGTTCCCTGGCTGACAGGTCACACGCATGGGGTCAAGTGCACTCCCAACTGTGGGCCCGGACATGTGGGAGACCCTGGGCCTGCACTGGCCTCTGCTCACTCACGCCCACTGATAAACCCTAAAAAGAGAGTAGCGTCCTCCAACTGTGCCCATGGGACGCCTAGATGCCTTCTGGACAGCATGCTATCTAGTCCTGTGTCCCCGCGCCCGCCTTTCAGGAGGTATGTTAGAACCAGTGCCCTCATGTCCAGGAGGCTTGGGCAGCTCAGCACAGGATGGGCCTTCCTGTCCACAGCACCAGGAGACTCCCCTGCTCGCAAGCACCAGGACAACTTGACTTCCTTGCCGGTCACTGAAAATGGTCATGGCACCACAAGGCCCTCCAAACACCGCTGCCCACAGCCCCAGCGGCCTGGCGCCTGTACCTCCATCACAGCAGCTCCCATACCTGCTTACCCTCTTCTCTGATCACAGACCTCAACACAGCTACACCTTCTCTTTTGGCAGATTGAGCCTGAACCTCCACATTGAGCTATATCCACAATACTTTTTGATTTTATTTTTGTTCTTTTGGTGCCAGGGATCAAACTCACGATCTTGTACTTGCAAGGCAGGTCCAGTGCCATTGAGCTAAATCCCGGGCCCCTCAACCCTTTTTTGTTTTGAGTCAGGGTCTCACCAAGTTACTACATGGCCTATCCTGGGCCTGAATTTTCTATCCTCCTGCCTCAGCCTCCAGAGTGCTGGGATTGTGGGCCTGAACCGCCACACTGGCTGAGCTGCACACCCAATACAAGGCACTTGAGGCTTCATTTAACCTTTGGCTTTATGGTTTCATAAATACACAGGGAAAGCAGCCCCAGAGGTACACATCTGCCACCCAACAAACACACCATTAAGTGCATGGTCCACGCATCAGGGCCTCTGTGTGTGAGCAGGACACCACTGCCACATGGCCCCGTCCCTCCTTGCCCCACTGCCTGTTGTGTCAGCTCTCACAGTTGACACGCACGACTCACACAGTGCTGCCTCCTCACTGGCCCTGGGCTCAGCACAGCCATTTCCCCCAGTGCAGGCTGCTTCCAGCTGTGCTCTCCTATAGGGAACGGGAAAGGAGACATTACCAGAACCCTTCAGTGGGCCCTGGTCTCCTGTGAGCCACGACAGCACAAGGCTACAGGATAAAGACAGAAATGAGACTTAGGGAAAGAGCTGGGTCTTAGGGCTGAACAGTGCTGCTCTAGACAGCAAAGACAAAGGCGCTCGAGCTTGCCACTATTTACTGGGCTCATAGGGAGTGACCATAACTGAGGCAGTGGTGATAACCCTAAACTGACGAGGATCTTCTAACTGCAGGAAGTATCAGATGACTCAAGGGTGGTGGTAAAGCTACAACCATGAGGATCTTACATGACGAGGCTCCTAGGTCCATGAGGGTGAGATGGACGTTAAGCTGATAACTCATCCCTGCCCTGGTGAAACCTTTCTCTCTCTGTAATGCGACTCAGTTCTCAAAGGCCCAGGACGTCATCAGCTGATGTAATCCCTACCCTTGAACACCACAGCATCACAGGACCACTGAGGCCTCAGGGTAACCAGAAGCACACGGTGT